TTGATCTGAGCCCTGAGCAGTCAATCCTTCGCTTGCAGCACAGGGTGGATTTTTTCAGGRCTAATGCAGTTTTCAGCTGGCATGGGCAGGGCTGTGCACAGCCAGGGGAGAAGTTATTTCTACTCTGTCAGCTTTCCTGGGCACCTTAAGTAATTGCTGCTGGGGGTGGTTTTTGATCAAATTCACATCAAATGTGCTTTCCCTCCCAGTCACCGGCGCTGCTGCGCTCTTGGTGCAAGCTGTCCTTGGAGCTCCAGACTCTGATTTTGATGGATCTCTGTTGGGATCCTGCCTCCAGAGGCACTCTGGGAGCTTTAGGGGTGGTGGGTCACCACCACTAGGCATGCACGGCAATGGGATTGGGAAAAAAGCAGGAAAAAGTGGGAAAAAGCAGGAAAAAGCAGGGGAAAAACAGGAAAACTGTTTTGTCCTGGTGTCACCACATCCAGAGCTGTGGAAGGAGAGGCCACAGCTGGAGTTGTGGAAACATTTAAGAATGACCAAAGGCTCAGATGAGGTTTGGGGAAGATCAGGAGAGTGCCATTCATCTTCAACCAGCCGTTCCCTTGGCAGATAAATGAGGCAGCGCAGAGCACAGAACTCGCAGTCACCTCAGAGCAAACACCGAGGATTCACCAGAAAAAAAAAACATTTCTCATCTGACAAATCCCCCTCAATACGGTCCTGCTAGGAGGAGAGTCAAGCAGCAGTCAGCCTGGCGTGTGAAATCATCTCACCTGGCAATCGCTGCTCCTAAAAATTATTTTTTTTCCAAGGCATGAAGCATCAGCTGTGCCTGCYTTCTCCCAGCTGTTCCAGCAGCATCCCTCAGTCTGGCTGTCTCTGCACCCCACCTCTCACACCTCGTGTTTCTGCAAAGCCCAGGAAGGGCAGGCTGGGGGTTTTTTTTTGCAGGATTTTCCTGGTGGGGATGCTCTGGAGCAGGACGGTGCGGTGCGTTCAGGCCGTATGTTGTCATTTAAACTCAGCGCATCCCGAAGCCGCGTTTGTGCAGATGTGGAAATGACAACCCAGCCCTGCAGCCTGATGGATTCAGGAATCCTCGGGGAAAAAGGTGGAAAGCAGGCAAGRAAACGAGAGCAGCRGGGRAATTTRGGGTTGGCAGCATGGAGTGACCATKTCCATCTCCCCCWGCCCGGTGTGCTCGGTGATTTTGGGAAGGATTTGGCTGCCGGAGCAGCCGGCGGAGCTGCCACATCGGATCAGCTCACATCCCCCCTGCCCAAGCGTGCGTCACGCTTCGTTCCAGGCAGGTTTTCCTTTCTCCTCCCTGTCATGTTGGAGGGGCGCTGCAGGCGAGATTTGCATTAAGTACAGACATTTGGTGTCAGCGAGGMTCCTGCCTGGGTGACTCATGGGACATCTCACACAGATGGGGACAGAGACCCTGCTGACCCCTCCCCTGTGTCAGAGACCACCGTGGCACAAGATTATCCACACCACCCGCCCCGTTTTTGTCCCTCTGCTGTCCCTCGGGAAGGTTTGTCCCTGCAGTAGAGCATTAGATTGGGATTTTTGTGAATATTCTCGGGATTTCCGCAGGTGCACTGTGACTGCGTGGATATTCGGGTTCAAAATGAACTCAGAATTCCATGGAGACCCACACCAGTCATTTCTGATGCCGTTTGATCCCTTGGGAGAAAAGGCCATGGACACAGCAGAGCTGGGCGTCCCAAATCCTTACATCTTCACCCCATCTTCTCTCCTGTGCTCAGAAAAAATACTTTTAGGGAAATATTTCACTGTGGATTTCCATCCTGCTCCTGTCACCCTGTGCTGGCCTGTCCTAGCTCGTTTCATGTCCCTGCACCTTCTGCTGTTGCTGCTGGGTATCTGCAGAAGGGGAAGAGCTGGAGCTGCAGTTCTGCAGGATTTGTGCAGATTTCCCTGATTTCCAGCACACGGAAATGATACGGAATTCATCCCCGCAGCAATTGCTTCGCCTGCAGGCTCAGGAAGTGAAATTCCTGGTACAGGAGTTCAGACAGAYGGATGGGGCAGGGATGGCCTCAGTGTTGAGGACAGAGCAGGGTTCCAGTGGAAGGAAAATCTCAGCTKTAGTTTGATGCAAATTTGCCCTGTGGTGTCACAGGAGGAAGGGACAGGGACATKTGTCAAGGCTGGTGGTTTACAGGACCTCTATCTCCATGAGCTGGGGAAATTCTCCAGAAATTGGCTTTTTCCCACCTGCAATGTGACTGAGGGTCAAAAGGGGAAAAAAATAATCCAGCAGTTTCGAGGGCTGCGGTGTTGCCCGCTCATGGGATATCGAGGTTTTGGCTTAAACACCCAATTCCTGCAGACATCAATCATGGCAAAAACCCCACTGTCAGCCCCAAACCAAAGCTGGTTCTGGGCCTCTGTGTACAAGGGACAGCTTGGAAACACCCTCTTTATTGACCCCAGATTCCCATGAGATGCAGAAAATGTGTAATATTTTAGAGGCTGCTTAATCCTCTGCTGTAATCCTTTGGGGTTTTCCCTCCTCTTGTGGGTTTGGGGGACTCCTGGATGCTCACCCTGCAGTGRTGCAGCTTGGGGGCTTTCAGGGTGYTAAGAAGTGTCYCTTTGGTTTCCTGTCACAATTTGCTCTGAGAGAACCCCTGGGCCACAGGGCAGAGAGATCTGAAATGCAAATTTCAGGATGCACAGGCTTATCATTTGTTCTGCCTAC